CAACTGCATTTGTGCCTGATCCGATGGTTTCTGTTGAAGTCAAGTACTTGCGTCTTGTTTGTCGTCTTCTTGGACACCTCGCTTTTTGGGAAGCCAAAATCTTTGCGGTAAACGACAGCATCCAGAAAGGCCAGCTAGCTGCTATATTCTGCCCCCATCATCAACTGAATATCTTGGAAGACGGCTTTGGGACGTTCTCTGAATGTCAGCATCTGATCCCGCTCGATGACGACGCGGGTATTGCCCATATACTGAAAGAAGACGTTCGTTCACTAGTGTCGGAACACCAATGAAATCGCCCGTTGTAAGACGACCCGAGGCAGGATTTCAAAATCTGGCAAGTCCCTGATTTTCTCGAAGCATGCATTTGAAACGGCAGGCCAATTAGTTTCTTGTTGCAGCAATCGCATCTTCGTCTTCTGGACTGCTTTCTTCATTGTGGGTAAACTTTTGATTCTAAATGCTTCTGCCTTCAAGTGATCTCCGGAAACCCTTGCGTTCGAAGTCAGGAGACGGTATGCATGAAGCAACGCAGCCTCAAGGTATGCTGATTTGCACTGAGTTGACTTTTTGTATCCCCAGGAAACGAGAGACTGTGATTTAGAGTACTGGATCCGATTGGCAAAAACAATATATCCAGTGTGATAAATGGCAAAAATGAAGGGGCTAGCTGTAACACTATGTCCACATTGAAAGTTGAACAGTATCAATTGTCCTAACCTGTTTACAGAGATGTCTGAAGTCAGCAAATCGAGTGAATATATTTTGAGTGATCAGCAGGTTTCGTGGTGGTCCGTTTCTTATTGTTTCGTGTGTCGGAGGGTCTCATAAGTTTGTATTCAATAGCCATTGCTGTACACTGTTAGTTGAGTGCCGACTGACGGCCGAAAGAAAAACGGTATCTTCATACAGTTGACTCACGTTAGCGCAATTTATTCGTCCCTTACTGGCGGGCTATATCAAATTGTGTCATTATTTGTTGACTGGCTGATGGTCTGGGAGCCAGGCTGCAATGGTTTCTTCTTAACGTGACCCTCGGAAAATGCACACCTGTGTAACGAGCGCCGCACAGTCCCTTTTGGGCTAAACCCTGTTGCCCATGTTTAGGGGGCCAGTTCGCCTAGGTAATGCACGCTAACCAGGTGATTATGCATGTTAACAGCTGTGTTCATTCCCCGCAACAGCCCACCGACCAGCTCAAATGATGGCCGTGTCCGGAACGGGAGAGTGTGGTCGACGGCTCCTAACATTTTTTCGCGCTGTTAACCATCTGACGCGTTTGAAGATATGACGGTGCACTAAATGCCGTTACTCGGAAGGTTGCCAGCTGACGAGATAATTCTGTCGTCCCAGAGGGGGAGGGTAGAGTCAATGAAAATTGTAAGTAAACCAATCAGTAGTAATTAGGAGGGAAAAGGGGAGAGGTGAAAAGAGATCAAAGGGGTCAGATTCTAGTCTTAATTAGGGACCAGAGAAACGGGGTGGGGAGGCGAAGGGTCAGGCCATTAGTTCATGTCGTCCCGTCGTCCTCGCCTCGAGTTGTGTTGGGACGTGCGAGGACGCAAGGTGTCAACGTCTTGTGACGGCATCGGTGGCCCGTGGATGCTCGATGCAACACTCTCGTCACTATTTAGCGATGTGGTAAGAGGCGTAGGGGCGGATGTTGAAATGGCCTTCGGCTACGGGAGCCTTAAGACCGCTACAAACGCTCTTTGCGCGCATAAAATTGGGTTAGTGAGGCGTACGGCGACTGCCTTTGCCGTCGCAATTATCCGCTGACGCAGGAACTTTGAATT